TTTGGTGATGTTATTTAAGGAGTATAATCCAGTGGAATAGATTTGGAAAGAAAATAAAGGACATGAAGAATTCAGAAGATAAGAGTTTGAGATAATACAGAGAGTAGATGCACCCGTGCCATTGCAAACGATTTTGAGCCATGTCATTCAAGGTCTCTAACCATCGGTTTCTATCATCTCGCGGTCCCCAATCAAGTAGTCTACATCTATCAACATGGCTCAGTCCACTTGTCAGTGACTTTATGGATTTGTGCCATGATTTGGTCTGTCCGCCCCTAGCTTTCTTTCAACCTACTCCTACAAGAAGAAAGAATTATTTGGTAGAAAGAGAGATATGAAGCGATTTTAATCTCATAGTTTAAGGGAAGATAAAGAGTGTATACACCTACTTTATTGTGATCAATAATGAGCCATATCACATTGAGTCTCCAACCATTGGTTACGATAGTCACGTGGGACCCAACCAAGTATTCTGCATCTACCAACATGGTTAAGACTAAAAGTTAGTGACTTCAATGACCGATGCCACGTTTTAGTTTGGCCGCCCCAAATTTTCTTCTATCTGTTTCCAACACTAGTCACCATCGCGCGTCGTAGTAATCAGTGAACGGGCATGAGCAACAGGTGGACCAACCATTTCAATCGATGAAGATTCACAACCTCACCAACTGATTTACTATCATTCCTTAATACCCTACGTCTAACCTCACTATTATTTACCCGATAATCCCAGCAGATGTGAGCCATATTCCTAAGATATCTGTAGCTTACAAGTATCTTCTACTCTTAATGGCCATGTTTTGCTGCCGTAAAGTAGAACAGAACGAACTGTCACTCAGAATACTCGTTCCTTAATTGATACAGTCAATGATAACAGTGGAATAGATTACATAACTAAACATAATAAGTGAGTAAGTACAAATTGGTAATGTGATAACAGGTTTGCTAGTTGTTTTTGATAGAGTTTTTTCACTGAGGTGGATAGTTTGGTTGTGAAGCTTTCATCGTTTCTCTGAACGACATCATCATCAGCACAAACTTCAGATATTAACTGTGATAAGAATAATAAAGGATTAGTAATTTCATATCTACATATAAATTTTACTGTATATTAGAGTAAAGTATGATGATGATCTAATCGAAAACAATATTGTTCACTTAATTATATTGTTCTAAATTAAATGAATACATATAATAGTAATTTGAATTTCTTTCATTTACAGATCATACATAATTCAAGAATTGGATCCAAGTAATAATAAAGAATAACCGATGGTAAAGTGATTAAATTGAATACATACGAATGATGTTTGTATACTTTAAAGCCAATATTTAACACGATTGAATGAGTTATGTAAATCTAGTGTAAATACATTGTCATGTATTGTACTGAATTTTCGCTAGATTTTTCCTTATGATCTGTACTAATGTAATAAAATCAAAATTAGGGGGATCTTGATCATTATTTAATGTCAACTGAACGACTAATAAAAACTAAACAGGATTTGACAAACGATTCGTTCTATTACATAACTTTTCATCAGTGTTTAACTATCATCATCACACCAATCAAATCAAGGAGTCTCAAGTTATTCAATGGGTGTATCACATTTAGAGACTATTGAGTTGAAATACAATGGTTCATTATTTTACTCTCAAACAGTATACAATTTACTCATCAATTCTGAATTTTATATGTATTTGTTTATTGTATTTTTAAAGTGAGATGTTGTTTATCACTGTGTCACTGAAAAAAATCTCAAGTAATCCTAAAATCTATTATTGAGCCTACATTAGTAGTAATCGTTACTTGATGGACATACAACAGTTGGTTCTGAGACGATGGCAAAGATTTGTATCTCAGGTGGATAATTTTGATAGAGTTTTGTTCTCTGAGCTGAATAGTTTGGTCATGGAGATAGAATTCTACCTGAAGTTTATACTGATAATGTCTTACAGAAGAACAATTAGAATTTCATAACCAAATGATCCAGTTCATAAAACAAAACTCCATCAAAAACAGTTGGTTCGTTTGAAACATAATTCTATGCTTTCCATCAATCTATAGACTTGGATTAGATGAAAAATATTTCATTTTTCCAACAAAATATTCACCACAACAAACTTTCAAAAGTGAAAATAAATTCATATTTGTATTTAACCACATCTCATTAGTTGTAAATAGTCTAAAGTTACAAATTATGATAATATGTATAATTAGAAACAATGATTTAATGTAGATAACATGAATAAAGTTAAAATAGATCTTCAAAACAGGGCAAACAATCATAAGAAGAAGATGAAGAAGAAGACAACACAAATTATCACATCAAAAACACTGTAATTGAAATGGATCATGTTTAATGTAATAATTTGTACTTTAATTACTTTCATTCATTTCGGTCTAATCCAAAATAATGTGTTGGACATAAAAGTGTAAAATTCGTAAACCTAATATTGCAATCCATTTGTATTAGTTGTTTCAATTTTATTGTTGATATTCAGGACTACAATTGATCAGTCTCTCTTTGGCATTGCCTTAACATTGACATTAAGTCACAAACATTATAGACAGAGATGGATGTTGACTACCAGTGGAATCCATGACTTGCGTTTTGTCCACTTTTGGACTTGTCAGATGGATATACTTGCTTATAATGATTATGAATTAATGGCAATATCGAAGCAATCTGCAGATGATGAATAGATGCAAAAAAGAGACTGATCAATTACAAAATTGAACAACAATGAGAAAATTCAGACGACCAGTACAAATGAATTAAGCTTCGTCTGAATTCAGTGACCAGGTGAATAATGCGCTGATGTTTGAAACGAACAATATTGGGTTTGGGTCCCGGAGTGAACATTAACTCCAAGATGCAGGTACATCCAGATGACATCATATCTATCTCTGCTTCTAAAATTATAATAATAACTATATACTGATTTCATTGAAAAGAGCCTAATGTTATTTCTATCAGTGCTGCAAACTTGTCGTTAGTTAGTTTTCTTAGACACTAGGTGATAAATTATAGTCACATTATCAAATTTAATGAAGACATTCAATGTAGAAACAAACAATCAGTGTGAATTACAATAAACGACTTTGAGATAACAACTTATCATATCATAATTATTTAGGTTCTTGTTTTTTTTTTCAATTAGAAGATATGATTATATCATCTATGTTACACTCACAAAGTGATCGATTCTTGAAATCTTCAAGGTAGATTAATATTCACAAACAATATACGATGTAGTTGACTTAAAGTATTGGAATGGAACGAATTAATCATAATAGTGTGTATAAACCTTTCGCTGAGTCCTAATTTAGTAGCTTAATAAATAACCTATTGGCCGACAGTGAAAATTCAAGTGAAATTGACAAGTACTTTTGAAATGTACTATCCGTACGAGTAATCAAAGCCATTATCCAAAAGATTAGAAATAGTTATATATATATACATATATATATATATATATATATATAGCCCCCCAAATGCCCTGGTACGGCCGAGAGTGGGGGTAGTCCGCTCCCCCTCTCGAAATGCTCTCACATGGCCACGCGTACATAGCCCCTGCCAGGGAAGTCCTACTCACTGCTCTCTCGTGGCATTACTGTTGTTTACGAAAATGAGAGGACGAAAAGCGAATGTCCGGCGCTATAACCGGATCCCAAACCAATGGTGCACATGGGCTCCAGTAACCTGATGGAACAAATGGCGTGTGAACCAATCGTTGGTCACCGGCTACCATGAGACTGCATCTCCTCACGATGCTCCACTGCCTTGTGGATCAGACGTTCAGGTCAAAAGCTCGGGGTGTGGCCCCCTAAGAAAACCACCTGCTTCGGTTTGGGCACCCGGGCAGTATCACAGCCCTCACACAAATCAATTGCGATTCGTGTGGCGCATATGTATTTGGTGCCTCCTTGTACCAATACCTATGTGTTAAAATAATATATATATATATATATATATATATATTGTGTTTTCCAGATCGGATTTGTTAAGCAAAGTTTTGGTAGTGTCTAGCAGGATTGAAGACGCACGTTTTGTCATATTTGGGACTCGTCAGTTGCATGTGCCTGTATACCCGTACTGACGTTCACACTGTAGTAAGCGGTAAATCATAAGTGTAAAGTCAATTCACAATGTTGTAAAATTTGATAATCCTACATTAAGTGCATCATTTGTACAGCTTCTTTGAGTTGTCCTTTACATACTACACTGTTCCTCTAACTCTGTTGTTATTTCGATTGCTCTCCGATTTTCTTCCTACTTTCTTCATTTCAATCTTCTGCCGATAGGCATCCCACTTCTAATTGTCACTATACACTGCTTATATCTGTCAGTATAAGTAGCATGCACCAAAACACCTGTACTCGAGTCCATTACCTTTCTCTGAAAATACGTCAAGTGTGATTAAATAATCTACTGAGTCCAGATGGCCACTAACTTACTCAAAGGATATAATGTTAATATCATTATTAGTTCAAGTCCCAGTGTGATCCAGAGACACCCATCTGACAATTTCCAAATAAGACAAAATCGCGTTTTAAATTCCTCTACTAGCCATTATCTTTCTCTGCTTCAAAATGCTTGTGACTGATGTCTCAATCGAGACAATCTGCTCATAAAGTACACATACCAAAAGAGACTGACCAATTACAGTTCATAACATAAACAACGGGAAGATTTAAACCCCTACAAGTGAAATAAAACTAATCTTTCTCAGACTATTACTTTGTGATTTAGATAAATTCTATTTTACTGAAGAGATCGACTATCAAGAGTTAATCATCTCGTATACTACCCCTTAGTAGTAATAAAACAATGATAATCAGCGAATTTATTTTATTACATAAATGAATGATTTATCATTGTTCTTGATCATTTAATCAGAATATCATAACTGTATTATCAACACCGGTTGATTTGCTCATCAACACCATCATCATCATCATCATCATCGCATAATAGAATGTTGAAGAAATATTATTATTCAAATCCTTGTTTATGTCTACATATAGATTCGTTTATATTATCCTGTTCTTCATATATTTCAATAACATTTTGATCATTTGTTTCATTGGAATTCATAAAGTTTTCTTGTTTATCTAATGTTGTATCTATACAAAATGTGTTATTTGGATTATAAGCTTCACTACACAATTCTTCAATGAATGCAGACTAAAAGAACAAGAAATACATACAAATATTTTAACATTGCAGAAGAATAGCATCAATGAGAAATTTGATTGAATAGTATGTTTTTTAAAAATTTGTGGAACCAGTGTGCTTAATCAAGACACTTCAACAGAAAAAAAATACTGATGTCTTACTCTCATACTTTTTCTTTCCTCTGGTGATCGACTGGATTATGAAGACGTCAGTATCTGAGAGGAAGCATGAGATATAGTGGACAGCTAGGACGCAGTTGGACAATCTAAACTTCACAGATGATCTGGTTGTTCTATCGCATACTCAACAACAAATGTAGGAGAAGACGACTAGTGTAGAAGCAGCCTCAGCAGAACTAAGTCTCAACATACACTAAGGGAAAAGCAAAATTCTCCGATACAACACAGCATGCAAAAATCGAATCACACTTGACGGGGAAGCCTTGGAGGATGTAAGAACCTTTACATATCTGGACAGCATCATCGATGAACACGATGGATCTGATACAAATGAGAAGGCGCGGATCGGCAAAGCAATAGCAGCATATTTACAACTGAAGAACATCCGAAACTCAAAACAACTGTCTGTCAACCAACACCAATGTCAGAATTTTCAATACAAATGTCAAGTGGAAACTTGGAAGACTACGAAAACCATCATCCAGAAGATATAGGTGTTTATTAACAGATGTCTACGCAAAATACTTTGGATCCATTGGCCAGACACTATCAGCAACAACCTACTAAGGGAGAGAACAAATCAGATCCCAGTGGAGGAATTAATCAGAAAGAAGTGGTGGAAGTAGATAGGACACACATTGAGTAAAGCACCCAACTGTGTCACAAGCAGGCAAGCCCTCACTTGAAATTTTCAAGGCCAAAGGAGAAGCAGAAGACCAAAGAACATATTACACCGAGAAAAAGAGACAAACATGAGAAGAATGAACAACAGTTGAATAGAACTAGAAAGGAAGTCCCAGGATAGAGTGAGTTTGAGAATGCTAGTCGACGGTCTATCCTCCATTGAGAGTAACAGGTGTAAGTAAGTAAGTAAGTTTTAAAATGCACTGAAAGGTCTTGGACACGCTTCAGAGTCGTCTTGTATAAAAGTTAAAGATTTTATTGCCAAAAAATATTCAGTACACATATCAATTGAAATCACAAAAACTTAAGTTTACCAAATTTGGAAAGTGTTACTCTTATTCACCTTCAAAATATTTCCTAGTTTTGATAAAACACTTGTTCTAACTCTGTTTCCTTATTCAAAACATTTATGAAAGTCTCTGAAAGTTACAATCTTTAGTTATTTCGTCGTTTTACACTTATTCCTTTTCTGTAAAGTCTCTGTTTAAATCATTTATAAGAACAATATCTTCAAATTTACTACATCTGCAGTCATTCGGACAATAAACCAAAAAGCAATTGTACAATAGCAGAGGCAGTACAAGTTTAATGATTTCATCAAACCTAAAAGTTAAATAACTTGATGACTTAGAATCGTTTTTTAATGTTCTCTTGGTCTTTTCGAGAAATGTTGTTTTCTTCAATAAATCATCTACATGAACAACCATCACCATTTCACGGTTATTTTTAAAATGGTGAATGAAAAACCATACAAAAAGTTCTCAAGTCTTCGTGAAATGAACCACTTGTTAAACTTGCTTGTGATTAATCCTAGAAGAAAGCCTCCACACCGTAGTACAACAGTTCAGTGATATGAAGAATAAGTGTTCTCATTAAAGACTAAAGGTCCTGGATTCGATTCCCGAGTACAAGTTTGTGGATATGGACTAATGAAAGGTCGCATAGTAGGAAGAAATGGTCAACTTATATTCTGTCCATTACTATATACTACTTTTTAGTAGTCAGTAACTAGTTTCATTTATCAGTATAAGGGGTTGTGGAGATTGTTAAGTTTTGATTGAGATCATGAACCGATTGATGTCAGACAACCATTGAAAACCTGGAAGCACTAGACGGCCGTTTCGTCCTACTGTAGGACTCCTCAGCAGTGCGCATCTACGATCCCGCTTGCGGGATTCGAACCCAGGGCCTTCAGTCTCGAGCGCGAATGCTTAAGAATAGGATGAAACGGCCGTCCAGTGCTTCCAGGTTTTCAATGGTGGTCTGACATCAATAGGTTCATGATCTCAATAGTTTCATTAATGTTAGCCTTTGAAATCTCAGTGTAACATATTATCGGCTTAGCCACTAGAGATACCTCACGGTTTGAGGTTTATAACTAATTTACTCATAATCTATTAGTCTCCCATACACAATTTAGTTAACAGACACCAATTTATTATTGTACACCAAAATTCATATCGACTCATATACTATGTGGTCTTCCCTCCAAAAATTTATCTGGTTTTTAATGAGATAGTTATCTTATATTATCTATATTTATTCCGATTACTTATGTTACAATTTTGTCGAACGTATACACCTATTCCAGTTAACAGTGTATATTCATCATTTTGAAATTTACTATTTCAAATATAGAGTTGTAGGTGTTGTTGAATTTCATTATAACTTTGAACTGATCAATGTTAGACCACCATTGTAAACCTATAAGCCTTGGACGACTATTCCGTCCTTCTATGAGACCCCCCCACAACAATGCACATCCACGACCGAACCCTGGACCTTCAGTCACATGTGAAGATGCTTAGTCAGTGTTAGGTCCCGATAAGCATAATGAGTGGTAACTTTGGGGATCCATTTATGGACCAACACTATATATTACAACCACTGAATTAACTACTTCTATGAATCTGGTGTTCATCTTGTTGTGTGAATGCGCTATGGCAACTTGGACCGATGCATATATGTGCCTGGTCCTACGTTGCAGCTGACTGACCAATAATATACGTATATTTTTATCGTATAACTGTTAGTTAACTAAACTATTCATATTCATGTCTCTCTTATCATAAGCCTTATTTTAACCTATGAACTGTTATTATGCGATTTACCATTCTTGAATTATTCTCTGTCTATTAATCACTACCTCGCACGTTCACAGCCACATTTGGCTAAATCTTGTACAAATGTGATGTGATCTGTTTGGTTTGTATATAAACCCAGTATGTGTTGAAATATATGATTTATATTGCAGAGGCTGAAATTGGTGTTCTGGACTTAACAGACATGGCTAGGCGGGAAGCAGGACCAATAAGGAATCTAGATTGCTCATAGGGGTTTACGCGTCATTAACCCGATCGATAAGTCGCTGCTCCCTAATTGGCCGTCACAAGTTATAACAATCAGTCATCCAGCTACAAGGTAGGACCAGCAACATATATGCAACGGTCCAAGTTGCTATACCTTATTAGTATAACAAGATGAACACTAAATTCATAGAAATAGTCACTTTAATGGTAGAAATGTATAAAAGAAAGATTATGTATGAGGATATATATATTTATGTCAAGTGTATTTCGTTCAAACAGTTAAACATTTAAATAGAATTGTGATTATCATTTTTAATTAACATTTTGTAAACTATGATAAAGATGGATTTAATAAAACTTAAAACATACTTTTGGAATATGAGATAGATTTTCTTTAACCTAATACCAGTTTCAAAAAATGAAAAAAAACAAAACAAAGAGAGTGACTTTGTGAACTAATAATGACCCTTTCTATCATATTATGAGAAAGTTTAATGTTCATTTAAAACATTAATTGGAATAGACTAATGTTTCGTCTTTATATTGTTTTATGATAGAAGTACTTACTATAAAGCCTGATTACTATCAGGGAACCTTCATGATACTACATTTTCAAAACTTTAATCTATAATATTCTCAATATTGGGTTGTGAAGATGATTAAGTTTTTGATTGGAATCATGAACCGACTGATGTTAGACCATTATTAGAATCCTGGAAGCACTGGACGGTCATTTCGTCCTATTGTGAGACTTCTCAGCAGTGTGCATTAACGATCCCGCCTGTGAGATTCAAACCCAGGGCATTCGGTCTCTTATATCAATCGGTTCATGATATCACTCAAAAACTATAATATTCTACCAAACTTTACTCATATTAAAACTCGATGGGTTGATTCATAGCCATTTACAAGTTCTTAGCTTTAAAATACTATTAAGTACATTTTAGATAGATAATAGTATTACAAATCTTCACATAACAAGTATTCTTTATAGTTCTGCCTAAAGCTGTTGTCTTTAAATATTAAAAATGTTGATTGATAATGATAATAACAATTCGTAACCTAAATCCAGTGACTACATACCAGCTATTTACCTGTAAACTGTACATTGATTATAAGCTATGGTTAATTACATTGATTTATCTTACTTACTTACTTATTACTTACGCCTGTTACTCCTCGCGAAGGAGCATGGGCCGCTCACCAGCATTCTCCATCAAACCCTGTCCCAAGCAATCCTATCCAGCTCTTTCCAGTTCTTATTCATCGTTTTCATATCCGCTTCTATTTCTCGACGTAATGTCTTCTTTGGCCTTCCACTTTTCCGCTTCCCTTCAGGATTCCAAGTTAGCGCTTGTCTCGTAATGCAGTTTGATGATTTCCTCAATGTACGTCCTATCCATTTCCATCGTCTTTTCCTAATTTCCTCTTCAGCTGGAAGCTGGTTGGTTCTCTCCCACAAAAGACTGTTGCTGATGGTATCCGGCCAATGGATGTTGAGTATCTTGCGTAGACAACTATTTATAAATGTTTGTGCTTTCTTGATGATAGTTGTTGTGATTCTCCAAGTTTCAGCTCCGTACAGTAGAACTGCTTTGACGTTCGTTTTGAAGATTGTGACTTTGATATTGGTTGAAAGTTGTTTTGGGTTCCATATTTTCTTTAATTGAAGGAATGCTGTCCTTGCTTTGCCACATTGATTTATCATGAGGTCGTAACTACTATCATTTCTGTCTTATCCGAAGTTTTGATATAAATCCATAGGTCATTCTGCCATATAGCCTCTAGTTCAGTTAGCAAGATCTCGCATGCATACGATAAATATGGCTTTAGTCTTAAGGATAATCAATAGCGTCTAGAATAGATCAGTAGTAATAACTCAAATGATGACACTGGTTAACTCCTAGTTACCTAGGTAACGTCAGTTCCCTAAATATTTGACAGATTCGTTACCGGTACGTACCAATCAGCTCGAAACTCAGAGTAACTCACAATTTAAAAACAATAAATACCTCAGCAAATATTTGAATAAATTTTTTTAAAAAATAACCACTCACTTACTGTTTCTTCACTTAATACGATAGTTTCATCAAGTTGATCTATTTAGAAAATGGAAATCATATTGATAATCTAAATTTTAGATTCAACTAATTTGTTATACCAAAAATCAAACTCTAGTAATCTCTTTACAACTCATCTCACGTTTTCTAACATTTCGGCGAGATTATAATTTATGGATGAGCCATTCAGAAGCGTATAAGGGATTTCAAGGTCATGGCGCCAATTTCAGTACCTGATGCTCACGTATGATCGGTTGACATCGGATTTTAAAGAAAACGTGATAATTGAGCGGATACAACAAATGGAACTATTAAGAAGTTTCTTTATTTGTGATCGTGGTAATCAAATGACTTGTGGACCTTGTGCAGACTACCATGATAATGTTATCTTTCAATGTAATATGTTTTGAAAGAAGAAGTCTGCTAGAATACGAACTTTTTTCACTCGATCCAGATTGAGACTAAGACAAATTATGACAGTTGTTGAGGAGTGGATAATAAAAACACCAGTAACACTGGCTGCAGCTAGGTACTACAACATATACGGATGATTCGAGAGTGTGCAGATGATTAAATAGACTTGTTTATGTGCATCGTGTCGTGCACACAAGCAATACTGAAGCTATATAGTCGAGGCTGAAAGAGTTTTTACGACCTTACCATGGCTCCAGAAGCCCACTATTGTGGAGCCATATTGATGTGTACCCGTATCACATGCATTACGATTTTAGAACCTTTGAACCTCTTTCTAATCTTGACAAGTTCTTGAACCATGTACAAGAAGTGTATCCATTTTATTTCTTTGGTTTTGTATAATATATTTTTACTCTATACTAACTGTTTTCTGATTGCCTAATATTTCTCAAGGTCACCTGAGACCAGTCCAGTGTCGTCCATAAATTATGGTCTCACCATAACACTGCTTGTTAAAGTAATGGTTAAGTAAGAAGTATAACAAAAGCAAGCTTAAAACAGTATATCTTTGGATGCATAGACTTGCTTTAAATCTTTTGATGAAGACTTCGTTTAATTCAAACAACTTTGAATTTTATTAGGCTCATGAGCAGATCTAAGTCATACAATGGTTAAAAACAATTAAAAGTACAAGACAAACGTTTCGTTCTACTATGGGACTCCTCAGCATAGCCCATCTACGACCCTGACATAGGAAATCGAACCCAGGACTTTGGAGTCAGTCAATTGGGATCTCAATAAATTTCAATGATCTCCAAAACCATATACTCATAAGTCTGATTTATTTTAATTCATATATAACTATCAACAATTCAGTAGTATGTGAGCAGTTTTAAAGAATTTCTCTAAAATAAAACTCACTTGGATTTAGCATTTATTACAAAGAGTAATGTTATCAACAAATTATAACTTTTAATAATCGAGATTATGAGTTAATTGAAGCTAGACCACTATGGAAAGCCTGGAAGCACAGGACGGCCGTTTCGTCCTGGTATGGGACTTCTAAGCAGTGAGCATCCAATATCCCGTCTCGCGAGATATATGCTCACTAGTGAAGGACTTCAACAGGTATTTCCTGGAGTTCTAGTAAGAAGCAGTGACCAGTGCAGTTCAACCGGGTCTGTTGTGAAATAGTAACTCAGTGAAGACAATGATGGATGTATCTCTCAATTTCGTGGATTAATTGAAGTTATACATTAACACCAGTGAATGCTAGCTCAATAGTCTAATGTTTAAGCTCTCGCGCTCTAGATAGATATATCCTGAATTCGAATCTCGCGAGGCGGAATCGTGAATGCGTACCGTTGAGGAGTTCGACAGTAGGACGAAACGGCCGTCTGGTGCTTCTAGGTTTTTCATAGTGGTCGAGATTCAATCGACTCATAATTTCAACTATAATATTCACGAAACCCCTTCTAAAATTAAGACTTACCACTATTATCAATTGTTGTTATAAAATTCTTACAAGTTTTCATATTTCTTGTTTTAATAGTTAAATCATCTAAATAGATATTAAAACGTTACGTAATTGAATAATGTCATGAATTTAGTGATAGAGTTCAACTTCGTAAAGTTTACATTCTAATGACTATAAGATAGTACAATACGAACTTATTCACATGAATACAGAGGACAAAACTATCAAAGAATAATATAATATTATTAACTCTATACTCACAATTGATTGATTACTGGGTGGTGATCAATGTCATGTATGTTAAATCCTTCTTAGTGAAGATTGAATGCTATCGATCAAGTTTCAATGTGGCCACTAGTCTAGGTGACTCAACATTGTGTGCTCTATTTTGAGGTAAGATGGTGGTTGGAGGTAGTCAACAGGAAACCCTGGACCTAGGTTTCGTGCTACTTGGCACTCTTCAGCAAGGTGTACCTGTAATCTTAAGGTAAATGACACTCCCTGACGGATTTGACTCCGTGTCAACCAAATTCATAGTTAGGGATGTTAACTCTGGGCTATTCGGACCACAATTGACTTCCTGTAGGACTGAGATGTATTCAAAATTGATCGATCACTGGATGGTGATCAATGTCATGTGTGTCAATTTCTTAGTGCAGATCAAATGCTATCGGCCAACTCTATAGTGTGATCAATTTTTTAACTTATGAGGGAGGTTGTTTTTCTATACCCTAACAAGAAAATTTACACATAAAGTACAAAAATAATATAGAAACTGTTATGACGCCTAATGTTTCCACATCTACACGATTGGGAGGCTAATATGCCTTAAACGAATATCTACAGTATATACCCCTCCAGTGTCAATTGTACAGAACTTCAACACAACTCAGATCAAGAACATGTGAGTAACCGAACTAGAACGTATGTATATTTCCACACCAAAAGCCGACAACAATCACAATAATAGTAAGAGTAGGGAAAGACATATCTCATTTAGTACATCTCAGACTATCCACAAATCTGACTAGGCAAACAACCAATCATTATCATTCATGTCCACATATCAGAAACATTTGTACAGTTGTTCCTCACCTATTTCATTACTTTCTGTACAATCATTTTCAATCTCTTGATCAGACACTTCATCATCATTACAATTACCTAAAAAGAATATAAACAGTAGAACAGTAGATATTCGTGTCCGTGTAAATTCATCTGTATAAAGTCAAATAGGTTGAATCTATTAAAAATCATAATCACATTCCTTTATAAAAAAAGAATCGGCGAGACTCTAATTTATGGACGAGCCAATCAGAAGCGTTTTGGAGATTTCAAGGTCACGGTACCAACTTCAGTGCTTAATGCTAACGTACGATCGGTTCAAAAGGAATTTTGTACAAAACATGATAATTAAGTGGCTATAACAAATAAAACGGCAAGACTATACTTTGTGGACGAATCAATCAGGTATAAGATAACAGATCTCGCATTTTAACGCGAAAGCTTTTCATCCATTTGGCTAAATAGATTTCTGGCATTATAGCTGATGTCATTTTGTGATGAAAACCCTATATATAATTCCTAACTAAGGCAAATTATGACAATTATCGAGAACTGGATAATAAAAGCAGCAGTAACACTGGCTGTAGTCAGGTACTACAATATATATGGATGGTTGGGCGGGCGTACAGATGCCCACATAGACGTGGTTATGTGCATCGTGTCGTTATCCACAAGAAGCATTTTGTGTACCTAACAACCTGATTGCACATAAACAATACTGAAGCTATGTGATCGAGGTAGAGAGAGTTTTTGAGACTTTATCATGGCTCCAGAGGCCAACTATTCTGTAGCCATATGGATGATTTCCTCTACTGCACGCATTACGACTTTTGGAACCTCTGAATCTCTTTCTAACCTTGACAAGTTTATGAACCACGTATAAGAAGTGTATCCACTTTATTTCCTTGTTTTTTCATAATATATTTTTACTCTATACTGACTGTTTGCTGATTGACTAATATTTCTCAAGGTCACTTAAGCTTCGTTCAAAGGTCGTCCATAAATTAAGGTCTCGCCAAAGAATCAGCAGTAAATTTATTGATGTCGTTAGTGTTAGAACTCCTCGAAAAAGAAGCCCAAAAAGGCTGCGAAAACATTGAGAAACATCTTATCCAATCAGCATTCAATAGAAGTTTTGTCAGAAACATGTAGAAAGTGAAAAGTCATATGTCACGTTTCTGGTAGGATGATTATCTATACTGTTACTATGTTTAGCATTGTTCCGGAAATTTCCAGAAGCCTGGAGCCCCTCTGGGGCTACTACCGGCCAAAAAGCTAGATAAAGGAGAAGAGTTGAGCATGGGACTAACGATTCCATCTCGTAGATAACTAACTCGCTAAAAATGCCGACCAGAAAGTAACTCGGACCATTTAAACTCTGCCCTAGAAGTTAGAAGGTCTTCATTTAGAAGAAGTATGATGCCTCATTGTGAAAGCCGAGTTCCTTCGGAAGTCACGAGGCTGATGCCTCCTCAAGCAAAGTTTTGATACTGACTAATAATAGAATCCAGAACATAAGTTTCGTCCTATTTAGAGTTCGTCAACTGGATGTACCTGTACTTTAATTTGGATGTTCATACAATCGCTAGAACTCAGTACCTTTCATTTCAAATATCTTCGTGTTATCCACATAACAGATCGATTTTGCTGTATAAAGACACAAATAGCCAATACAAACCAAAAACAAAAATTCATCCGTCTGTACAAACCAGTGGCTACACGGACTCATTAGCTTGGTGGATAACGTCTTAGGTGTTTGTAGAAAAATTTAATGGATTGGAATCCCGGAGTAAGACGTATCACAAGGGGTTTTTTGTGGACATTATAGTAATTTTAATAGTTGAGATCACGAGTCAATTGAAGTTAGATCACTATGGGAGACTTGGAAGCACTGGATAGCCGTTTCGTCCCATTGTGGGACTCCTCGGCGTTGCACATCTATGATCCCGCCTCACGAGATTCGAACCCAGGATCTGTCTACTTCTAGACTAATGGACCGGCCGGCATCCAACGGTGTTAATTCGCAATAGATGCTATAGATCCCATCAAGACATATGTGTCTTAGTTATATGTATTCAGAAAAAAACGCCATTACAGCATCGAATAATAAATTAGCATCCATTAGTTTTCAATGTATTCACCTCTAGTTTTATCGGGCAATAGATTAGGAAGAAAATACAACAAATATATTGGTATAGATAGTTCATTACTCTCCCCATTACTCGAAAATTCTCTGCTAATCCATATGTTACGATTTACTATTCATAGTGCATCGTGAACTTACATTTTAGTTATATATTGTAGTGAATGAGTACACAAGTGCGGACAATCGAATGTACTTGGATACAAAATTACAGAATATCTTGGTGAAAATCTGAGAGCCATACAGTGAATACTCAATTTGCAAAATTTCAATCAAATGTCTCAATCTCGACTGTTCCTTTTGCAAATATCCCTAAATCGTCTCATACTCAATTGTTCTTGCATTTCCATACCAATTGTATTCTGCTCTCAATCGTTCCTCCTCGATAATCTTGATCTTCTGCTGCCAGACACTCTATTCCTAACTAGCGTTATATACTACTTATATCGATATAAGTGGCACATACCACATTAGTAACAAGTTCATCAGTTCCAGGCCCTTATCGCTGAGCGCAAAGCAGCACCCTATCCCCCTCCTGTTTGGTAGCGACACCAAATGTGGTGAACGAGAACACTAGTGGGGACAATTCAATATATTTGAATACAAAATTACAGAAAATCTTAGGAAAATCTGAGAACCATACAATAGATACCTCATTCATCAATATATCAATCAATTGTCTCAAACTTGAATGTTTCCTTTGCAAATACCCGTCAATCATCTCATACTTCATTATTTCTGCATTACCATACCAATTGCTTTCTGTTCCCCTTCTTTCCTCCTCGATTTTCTCCAACCTTCTACTACATGACATTCTATTCCTGACTAGCATTATATACTACTTATGTTGCACACATAGGATAGTATATATTATACATGCTATATAGTTAGCATTCCTGATGTTCAAACTGAATAGAGTGTAAATTTAAGTGAAGTTAAACAACCACTAGATCAATGTGCTCAAGGTTATTTCTTGTATACATAGAAATTTTAGTTACCTGTAATATTTAAGAAGGATAATAAGTGGCTTCTATTCATACCATTATGATCATTATCATTATTATCATAATTTAAATGATTGAAAATTGAATTATTATTTTCATTAACTTTGACTAAAGTTATCTCTTCATTCACTGAAACTGATTCAATCTACAATATAGTAATTAAAATAGTAAATTAGTGAAAATCATTATTAAGCAAAGATGAATAGTGGCTAGCAGTGGTATCCAGATGGACGCGCATTTCGTCCTATTTAGGATTCATCAGCTGGATGTATCCATTTTTGCTATAAAAAAAGCTTGTGACTTAAGGCTAAATCGAGGAAATTCGCACATATTCACATATGCCAATATGTGACTCATCAATTAAAGTCTTAAAGAATAATGGGAAGATACAGGTAAATAACACCAAGTGGATTTAAACTTCAGCCCATTGCATAAGTAAGGAACTATCTGGACTCAGTAGCCAAGTGGATAATATCACAATTGATTGATCACTAGGTGGTCACCGATGTCATACGTGTCTAGTCCTTATTAGTGGAGATCAAATGCTATCGACCATGTTGCAATGTGGCCACCAGTCCAGGTGACTCGACACTATGAGCACTATTGTGAGATTAGATGGTGGTTGGAAGCTGGGTGACACGGGATCGAATCCATCGGGGAGCACCAGTTCCCTCAAAATTACAGGTACACACTGCTGACGAGTGCCAAGTAGCACGAAACCCGGGTCCAGGGTTTCCTGTCGATTAACTCCAACCACTATCTAATCAAGTGGATAATACGATGGCGTTTAAAGCGAACGGTACTGAGTTCGAGTCTTAGAGGAAACATTATCTCTGAGATGCCAGCAAATCTAGCTGGCAAGTCCTAAAATAGAACGAAACGCGTATCCAACTGGATTCCACTGCTAGCCACTATCCATCTTTACATATAACGCTTGTGGATTATGGCTATATCGAGGCAAATATGCACAGTGTGCACATGTGCCAATAACAGACTGAACAATTTCAGTCTTAAACATCAATGGAAAGATTCAAACAAACAATACTAAGTGAATTAATTATTATACATTTAGATCTAATCATCAAATGAAATAATTATCATTGTTTTTTCTTTCAAAGGACTGTCATACACTTACATTATCTTCATTAGAATTATTCTTTTGTTCACTTATAACAGAATTATCATTAGTAATTAATTCTTCATCATTGTTTTTCAGTGAAATATTCAACTTAGTGTTATCAGTGTTTAAGTTAATCATCTCTAATGAATAGAATTCTTTAGATATTTGAGTATTCAATGATTCAGAATGTATCATAGGATAATGTTCTTCATCTGTTGCATTCAATGTAGATACAGTATAGTTTTCTACATTATTATTTGTTTCCTCAAGTTCTTGATTTGAATCACTTTCATTTTTTTCACTATCTACATTTCCATATAACCAGTCAATATCACCTGGTGTAATATGTATATTGTCAGTTGATAAACCAGCTTCTTCAGCTTGTTTACATAATTCAGTTTTACGACGTCTTGCTTCTATGACTTTACGTTTATTGGATAACCCTTAAAAAAAATGAATAAGCAAATGGTTAGCACACCTAAACTTAATATTCAAATACACAAACTATTATGTTGATTATATGAAAGTATAATATAACAATAATAAACTTATTAAGCAAAGATGAATAGTGGCTAGCAGTGGAATCCAGTTGAACACGCGTTTCGTCCTATTTGGTACTCATCAGCTGGATAAACTTGCATTTCAGAGTTGATATTCACTCCGGGACTTGAAATCAGTACTGGTATTCATCTTTGCTTATAATGCTTGTGAATTATGGCAATATCGAGGCAATCCGTACAGGATGCACATATGTCAATAAGAGAGAGCCTGATCAATTGAAGTCTTAAATAACAATGGGAAGATTTAAGTAAAACAACATCAAGTGAATAATAAACTTACATTTAACACTATCTAAAATCTTTTTTTGTTCTGCATCAATCCATTGTTGTCTAGTTTCACGTTCTTTTTCAATTCCTCCTGAATAACTATGTTATATATTATTGAATAAAATACTTAATTATAAAAATAAACTTACAATGCTTCAGCGCATGCTCTATCCATTGGAAAAACAGGACGATCATCTAGATAAGTGAGATTTTTCTGAAATAAATGATAAAATATTATATATGTATATATTGGTAAAGGTTGCTTATTCTCACCCTTTCACTTTCTCCTGGTGATCGACTGAATTATGAAGACATCAACATCTGAGGGGAAGCATAGGATATAGTGGACAGCAAGGATGCAATTAGACGATCTAAACTTCGCAGATGATCTGGCTGTTCTATCGCACACGCAACAACAAATATAAGAGAAGACGACCAGTATATCAGCAACCTCAGCAGTAGTAAGTCTCAATATACACAAAGGAAAAAGTGAAATTATCTGATACAACACAGCATGCAACAATCGAATCACACTTGACGGAAAAGATTTGGAAGATGTAAAAATCTTTACATAACTGGGCTACTTCATTGATGAACATGGCGGATCTGATGTAGATGTGAAGGTGTGGATCGACAAAGCAATAGCAGCATATTTACAACTGAAGAACATCTGGAACTCAAATCAACCGTCTGTCAACCAACACCAAGATCAGAATTTTCAATACAAACATCAAGACAGTTCTACTACATGGAACGGAAACCTGGAGAACTACAAGACGCATCATCCAGAAATACAAGTGTTCATTAACAGATGCCTACGCAGAATACTTCAAAACCATTGACCAGACACTATCAACAACAACCTAATATGGGAGAGAACGAACCAGATCCTAGTGGAGGAACTAGTCAGGAAGAAGTGGTGGAAGTGTATAGAACACAGATTGAGTAAAGCACCCAACTGTGTCACAAGCAGGCAAGCCCTCACATGGAATCCTCAAGACTATAGGAAAAGAGAAAGACCAAAGAACACATCACGTTGAGAAATGGAGACAGATATGAGAATAGTGAACAACAATTGGATAGAACTAGAAAGGAAGGCCCAAGACAGAGTGGGTTATCTTCAATTATCTAACTGTCAGATAAAAATTCCTCCAGATTATAACTATATAGAGAATGAAAGATTTAGACAGGATTGTATGTACTCTTGTAATCAAACAGATAAACAATGCCGAATTCCCTTTCTGTGAGTAATAATTATTATTTAATAGTTGAATTCATGAATCAACTGACTTTAGACTACCATTAGAAATGTGGAAGCATTAGATGGCCTTCTTGTCCTAGTATGAGACTCCTCAGTAGTACACATACATGATCCCGCACAAGAGAATCGAACACGGGACCTTTAGTTTCGCGTGTGAACGCCTAACGTCCATACCATTGAGTCGGCATTCAATGGCGTTAATTTCTAACCTTAACCACTCCATAAAGTAGACATTGATGATGCTGTGTCGATCATGATAATAAAGTTTCCCACTTAAAGCATCTAACCCCTAAAAAACACAGTAGTGACACAAACGATGTCTGCAGTATTTTTTTAAATGAACAATATTGATTAATCTTATAGTTTAGAAAAAAAAGGTTTTTATTATCTCCATTGGCAAATTTATTCAACAGATTACGTAATCATGTTACGAATCCAAAACTACCCTACTTTATAAACTTACACATTGATTAATGATATTCTTACGATAATTCTTCACTTCTCGAATAAACGGATTGCCTTGATTGTATAAAACTCTCTAGAAATGTTTTTTTTATATATATAAAAAGAACAAAACATATGGATTATTATTAAACCTTCTAGATACTACTCATAAAATTTAAGTAGTTTCATTCTTTATAATGCAAAATTTGATCATGTACATTGATTGATCAGTGATTGGCAAGTAATGTCATATTTAAAGCAATTAGTCCCTTTTATAAATTTCGATAGAACAATAAGAAGACGGAGTTGATCTGAAAAATGTGATGTATTTGCGCTATACATTTCGAAATTGTCAAGGACGAGTTCTTAAGTTTATTGAAGCCTTGGCTATTCGTAAATTTAAGCCCCCCCTTATGTGTACAAAAACAATTTGTTGTAACCTTGAAGTTACCTTGGTAATCCTTAAGTCATTCTATGGCCCAGGATAATGCGACAATTTCTTATCCTTTCTCTCCCCTTTGTTATTTTTGTTTGTACTTTAACTTTCATGTAATTGACCTTTATTAATTTTCATATAAAATGCCCTGACAAGTATATGTGTGACCAGATTGTTCGAAATGTATAGCGCAAATACATCACAAATTTCATATTTGTCAATACATTTGAGTTTTTAGTGAATTGAAATGAGAATATTGAAATGTATCCAGTGGTCTATGAGACCTAATATCATGTTCGGTATAGTGTGATAGTACTTGGTTTGAGGTAGTCAGAGAGACAAAATGTTTCACCTTGTGTTTCAATCGACGTTCAAACTTGTTAATAATATATACTACTCATGATATGAACTTATTCTCATTGTTACAAATCATCGTTACATCTGAAACCGTCAATGTGCATTGTTTAAGAGTTTCATACTTGGATGAGTCAGTTATCTAATATTCCTGGTTTTCAGTAGTATTCCAAATTGTCATGAATTTAATCTATTATTATTATTATTATTATTATTATTATTATTATTAAGTTTTTGATTGAGATCATGGGTCAACTGATGTTACGTCACCATTGAAAACCTGAAAGTACAGAACGTTCGTTCCATCCTAGTATAGGACTCCTCAACACGACGCATCCACGGTCGCGCACGTGGGACTTTCGATCTCATCCAGAAATTTTACATAGTAGATTAAATATCTAAATTACAGTGAATACACAAATAGTACAATGTTGAATGGGCCTACTACTACATGATATAGTGTAACATTATTCTACTTTATAGTAAATATTTAGGTGTTTAAAGAATAGACCGGAGCGATCCACCAACAATCGATTCCGCTTTAAATCTTACTTTAACAAGTGATATTTAAGTATAATCGAATTTCATAATATAACATACCGTGTATATTTCATTGACATAAGAATTTGAAAGTCTTACATAACATATAACCTATCTCAGTTTATATATTCATTGAATATATTATGTATATACCTTTAATACCAAAAAAAAGTGATTGATCACTGGGTGGCGATCAATATCAGATCCTTCCTAGAGCAGATCGAATCCTACCGACAAAGTTGCAATGTGGTCACTAGTCTAGGTGACTCGACTTTGCGTGTACTATGTTGAAATATGATGTTGTTTATAGGTAGTCAACAAGAAACCCTAAACTCTGAACCGATTATCAAGACGTGTAATGCTGACTAGTGTTGGAGAAAGTTAGAAGTTAGGGGGCGGCCAAACTAAAACGTGGCATCAGTCCACAAAGTTACTAACTTCCGGTCTTAGCCATGTTCGTAGATGCAGACTACTGGGTTGAGGTCTGTTTGATTATCGTAACCAATGGTTGGATACTCTAGGTGACTTGTCTCAGAATCGATCTCAATGGCGTAGGTGTATACACTGTTTGTCTTCCTTTAAACTATGAATTTAAAATCGCTTCATATCTTTCTTCCTGTACTATGTCCTTATATGCAATCTTTCTTCTATATATTACCACCACTGAATAAACTACTTCTATGAATTCGGTGGTCATCTTGTTGTGCAAATGAGGAATGGCAACTTGGACCGATGCACATATGTGCCTGGTCATACAATGTAAATAACTGACTGACTGACTGACTGACTAAATCTGATATACATGACATTGATCACCAACGAATCATCAGTCAATCATAAATACATCTCAATCTTATAAGAGGTCAATCTCTGTCCTAATAGCTCACTAATAATCTCACTGATTATGAACTTAGTTGACATAGGATCAAATCCATCAAAAAGTATAAATTCCTTCAACATTACAGGTACACATTATCTTGCTAAAAAAATACCAAATAGAACACAATCTACGTTCATAGTTTCCTATTCACTACCTTCAATCATTATCATATCAGATCAATTTTTATATGTTCCAATAAGATTGAAATCAAAATAATACTAAAGTTCTCTTAGCAACAAAAAACAAACAAAAGAAAAAAAAAGGAAAAAAAAGAGAAAAAAAACAAGAATCACATCATCCTTTATACACTATAAACTTACTAAATTTGGTAATTTAGCAAATACCTCTTCAACAACATTAGGATCTTTTATAAAATTATGTTGTATATCAAGTACAGATAAATGTTCACATTTAATTAAATGGATTAAATCATTAATTTCTGTTAATTTATTATGGGATATAATTAATTTTGTGAAATTTGGTAATAAATCTAATTTGGTGGGGGGGGGGTATATAAAATAAAAAAAGCAAAAAAAAAATATTAGAGAAAAATTTAAAAAATTTATTGATTAATGAAAAATAAAAAAAAATTTTCTGTTTGTTTGTTTGTTTGTTTTTAAAGAATGATGATATTTTTTACAGATTGATGTTATATTCAAGTGAAGATTAAGAAGAGAGTAATTTCTGTGAACTATCAAATGGAATAATATTTTATATATAGTACTCAGCCAAAAATGGGTAAGTCAACTTTCCCTCTTGAAATGCTTACACATAGCCACGGGTATATAGTGATTGATAGGGAAGTCCTACTAACTCGGTTCTTGTGGTGGAGGTGTTTTTTACGAAATTGACAAGACGAAAAGCGAATGGCCGGAGCATCAACCGGGTGTAACCGGTTTTCAAATCAATGATGCACATGAGCTCCAGGATCCTGAAGGAACAAATGGCGTAGGAACCAATTATTGGTCACCGGTTACCATGGGACTAAATCTCCTGACGTTTCTCCATTACCCTGTGGATCAGCCCTTTGGGTCAAAGGCTTGGAGTGTGGCCCTCTGAGAAAACCACCTGCTTCGGTCTGGGCATCCGGGCAGTATACCAGCCTTTACATAAATCAAACGACTTATGTGGCGCATATCAATTTGGTGCTTTCTTGTACTAATGTTTACGTGTTTAAATAAATAATAAAAATTATATAAAGATAGATAATAATTTAATTTATGGGCCAATTGAAACTAGACCACCATGCAAAATCTGGAAGCACTCGACGGTCGTTTCGTCCTTCTTTAGAACTCCTCCTTGGCAGTGCGTTTATACGATCCCACCTTGCGAGATTCAAACCCAGGACCTATCAGTCTCGTATGTAAGGGCTCAACCACTAAACCAGCATCTAATGGTGTTAATGTCTAATTTCAACAAATCTACGAAATTGAGCAACACATTCGTCATTGTTTTCAGTGATTTACTGTCTCACAACAGACCCAACTGAACTCTAACAGTTGTCCGGCACTTCCAAATTTTCCATGATGATCTCAACTATTAAAATTACATAAAAATAACCCCCCTCCGCTTCCTTCTTCTTCTTCTAATATTACATAACAACTACTTACCAAGATTTTCAATTTTACTGATCATATTATAGCTTACATCTAATGTATCTAAATATTTCATATGATCTAAATTCTCAATAGAACGTATTAAATTTTTTGATAAATATAATGAACGTAATTCAGTTTGATTATGTAATCCATCAATTTTTAATAAACCATTTACTTCTAAAAATAAACATTTTAAATTTGTATATTCATCAAGATTTTCAATTTTGGAAAATCCTATAAAGTGAAAAAAAAAAAAAGAATAAAATTATTTTAATAGTTGATATGATGAATGAATTGAAACTAGATTATCATAGAAAACTTGGAAGAATTGGATGGTCATTTTGTTCTAGGATGAAACTTCTCCTTGACAATGCGCATCCATGATCCCACCGCTTTCTCGAGATTCGAACCCAGAACCTATCGATCTCGTGTGTAAACACGTAATCACTAAATCATTGAACCTGCATCCAATGGTGTTATTGTCTAACTTCAAGCAATCTACGAAGTTGTTTTTCTTTCATTAAAGTGAATGATAAATAAACGAATTATATTACTCGGAAGGGGATCGGGATCATGGGTAAGCACTAGTGAAGAGTTCTATATTAGGACGAAACAGTCATCAAATGATTACTTCCAGGTTTTTCATGATGGTCAAACAATAATTGACTCATGAATTTAATTATTAAATTATACTGTAGTTTTTTTCTAATGGAAAAAAGTCTTTTGACTTTTAATAATTGAATTTATGAATTGATTAGAACTAGACCATTATGGCCGTTTCATCCTGGTATTAGACTACTCCTCAGCAATACGTATCAACGATCTCACACATGGGATTCGGACGAAAGAACTTCAGTCTCGCACATGAAAGTTTTACCTCCAAAGGTGTTAATATCGAACTTCGACTAATCCACTTTGTTAAATTGTGAATTCAGTAAATTTTATAATCCTTGAACTAGTAGATTTCATGATGTGCCATGAAAATGGAACATCTTAAATTTCACCATATTCTGGTAGGCCATTAAGCATTGCTAAAGATTATCATACAGATATAATAGTTTATCACTAACAAAGTTGAATGGTTATTAGAAGTAAAGGCAAGACTATAATTTATGGATGAACCAATCAAGTATAAGATAACAGGTCTCGGATTTTGGCGCAAAATTCACTCATTCATTTGGATAAATAAAGTTTTGACATTATAGCTGATGTTTATTTATGGTGAAAACCCTAAATGTAATTCCTAACCCTAATCCTCAACTGTAAATTATAATTCTAACTAGTTTATAACCCTTATTTAGTCCCAATCAGTAGGTGTCCATTCTCAAAGTCACCTCAGCGTCGCTCAAATGTCGTCCATAAATTATAGTCTCACCGTTTTATCTGCTAGTTTGATTCAAGAACGCATCACATACTACAATTAAATCCAGTTCAGTCAATGATTTTATATAAATATAACTGCTCATTACACCGCTTTCATCAAAATAGTATATGATCAAATAATTAGTATAACAAGTCATCGATTATCAGCTCAATGTATGATTAAGTTAAATCACTCATGGTGAACTATAACAAAAATTTCTGACTTTAATCTTATGACGACCTCAAAAGCAGAATAGAAAGACAATCCAGATTTTCACAAATTAGTATGGTTCATTTACAACTTAGGTCATCTTAAAACCGAGTATTTCGGTACAGAATACTACTACTACTACTACTACAAATACTACTACTGCCACTACTACTACTAATACTACTATTACTACTGCTACTACTACCACTACTAATACTAATACTACTATTACTACTACTGATACCAATACCAATAGTAGTGGTACTAATGATAATACTGCTACTACAAATACTAATACTACCACTACCACTACTACTACCACTACTACTACCGCTACTACTACTACCACTACTACTACTAATATTACTATTACTACTACTGATTACTTACTTACTTACTTTCTCCTGTTACTTCTCGTGAAGGAGCATAGGCCGCTCACCAGCATTCTCCATCAAACCCTGTCCCAAGCAATCCTTTCCAGCTCTTTCCAGTTCTTATTCATCGCTTTCATATCCGCTTCTATTTCCCGACGTAATGTCTTCTTTGGCCTTCCTCTTTTCCGCTTCCCTTCAGGATTCCAAGTTAGCGCTTGTCTCGTAATGCAGTTTGATGATTTCCTCAATGTATGTCCTATCCATTTCCATCGTCTTTTCCTAATTTCCTCTTCAGCTGGAAGCTGGTTGGTTCTCTCCCACAAAATGCTGTTGCTGATGATATCCGGCCAATGGATTTTGAGTATCTTGTGTAGACAGCTATTGATAAATACTTGTACCTTCTTGATGGTGGTTGTTGTGATTCTCCACGTTTCAGCTCCGTACAGTAGAACTGCCTTGACGTTCGTATTGAAGATTGTGACTTTGATATTGGTTGAAAGTTGTTTTGAGTTCCATATGTTCTTCAATTGAAGGAATGCTGTTGTTGCTTTGCCAATCCTTGCCTTTACGTCTGCATCTGAACATCCTTGTTTATCGACGATGCTTCCCAGGTATGTGAAGGATTCCACATCTTCCAGGGTTTCGCCATCAAGAGTGATTGGATTGCTGTTCTCCGTGTTGTGTTTGAGGACCTTGGCTTTCCCTATGTGTATTTTGAGGTCTACTGATGCAGAGACTGCTGCTATGCTGGCTGTCTTTGTCTGCATTTGTTCGTGTGTATTAGATAAGAGGGCTAGGTCTTCTGTGAAGTCTAAATCGTCTAATTGGTTCTGAGCTGTCCATTGTATGCCGTGTTTTCCCTCAGATTTCGAAGTCTTCATAATCCAGTCGACCATCAGAAGAAAGAGGAAAGGAGAGAGTAGACAGCCTTGTCTGACTCCAGTCCTTACTTGGAATGCGTCTGTTAGCTGTCCTCCATGCACTACTTTGCACTGTAGTCCATCGTATGAGTTCCGGACAACATTGACAATCTTCTCAGGAACTCCATAGTGTCGAAGAATTTTCCATAACGTCCTCCTATCTACACTGTCAAATGCCTTCTCATAATCAATGAAGTTGATGTAGAGTGACGAGTTCCACTCAATTGATTGTTCGACGATGATCCGTAGTGTCGCAATTTGGTCTGTTCATGATCGGTCTTTACGGAATCCAGCATGTTGATCTCGAAGTTGAGCGTCTACTGTGTCTTTCATCCTGTTCCGTAACATTCTGTTAAAGACTTTTCCTGGTATTGACAGTAGTGTAATGCCTCTGTAATTTTCACACTTGCTCAGGTCTCCTTTCTTTGGAATCTTGATGAGGTGTCCTTTTTTCTAGTCCAACGTCACTTGTTCCTCTTCCCAAATCTTTGATGTCTGACTTCAGTGCTTCAGCTGGTATAATGTCGGGTCCTGCTGCTGTTCCGCTCTTGATTTGTCTGATGGCCATTCTGATTTCTTCCGTCATTGGCGGATTGACATCTATAGGAAGATCTGTGTGTGCTGCTCTGATGTCCGGTGGATTTAATGGAGTCGGCATATTTAGGAGTTCCTCGAAGTACTCTATCCATCTGTTCCGCTGTTGTTGAATCTCAGTGATTGGTCTTCCTTTTTTGTCTTTGACTGGTCTCTCTGGTTTACTATATTTCCCTGTTAGTTTCTTCGTTGTATCGTAGAGCTGTTTCATATTTCCTTCTCTTACAGCTTTCTCCGCCGTCGTTGCTAGTTCTTCCACGTATTTTTGCTTATCAGCTCTAATGCTCTTCTTCACTTGCTTGTTTGCTTCTATGTATTCATCTTTTGCTTGGACTTTCTCTGTTCGTGTTCGACTATTGTTAATTGCTGTCTTCTTGTTCTTCCTTTCTTTGATCCTGTCCAGTGTTTCTATGGAGAACCATTCCTTGTGATGATGTTCCTTGGGGCCCAGAACCTCTTGACACGTTGAAGTTAATGCTTCTTTGATACCTTTCAAGTTATCCTCCATAGTAGTTTCTTCTTCCTTCAGTAGATCCTGTAGGGCTTGGAACCTGTTTTTGAGAGCTACCTTGAATTCATTGAGTTTGTCAGTATCTCGAAGGAAGGCTGTATTGAACCTTTGCAGTGCTGTTTGTCCAGTTGTCCAGTTCTTCTTTAGCTTCAGTCTTAAATTGGCCACAACCAGGTGGTGATCTGAAGCTATGTCCGCTCCTCTCCTGGTTCTCACATCTTCCATTGTCCTTCGGAACTTTTTGTTGATTGCAGCCTCTCATAGAACTGATCTTTAACGTCGTCGTTGCTATCATTGGTGGGTGCGTAACACTGGATAATGTTCATTGTTATCCCCTCCTTCTTTGTTTTGAGTGATGCTTTGATGATTCTGGATCCGTGGGATTTCCATCTTACGGGTGCGTTTCGTGCTACTTTGGACAGCATTAGAGCAACTCCCTGAGTGTGTGGAGCATTTTCCTCTTCGTGACCGGAGTATAGCAGCATCTCTCCCGTATTCAGCCTTTGTTGTCCAGCTTGGGTCCAATGGGTTTCGCTGATTCCCAGTACTGCCAAGTTGTATCTCCACATTTCCGTTGTTATTTGACTGGTCTTCCAGGTCTCCCACATTGTCCGGACGTTCCATGTACCTATGAAAATTGTTGCTCTGCTATTGCTACTACTAATACTACTACCACCACTACTACTACCACCACTACTACTACTAATACTATCATTACTACTACTGATACCAATGCCAATAGTAATGGCAATAATAACAATACTGCCACTCATAGATAGATTATTAGCATAAATATAATTTACCATTATAATGTAGATAGAGTATATCGTTTAATTGTGGTGTTTGATACAATTTATTCTTTGCACAATGTTGTTTTAAAAATTTTTTTGTCATTCTAAAATGTAACAGAAAAAATCATTTTTACAGTTTGATTCTTTTTAAGATGAAAGTTCTACATAGTATAAACTGACTTATCTATACAAAATTCCTATAAGGATAGATGAATATCAAATGTTATTATTACTGTCAGAGACTTATTAACTATTCTATAGATTATAGGAATCAAAATATATATACAGCTATATATAGCCACTGATAGGGAAGTCCTACTAGCTGCCTTCTCGTGTCATTACTATTGTTTATAAAATTGAGAGGATGAAAAGAGAATGTCCGGTGCTTTAGCCTAGGTTGGTGGATACGGAGAGTTCACCTAGGGGATTTAGAAAACCCTCATTCCAAAACCAATAGTGTACATAGGCTCAATGATCCTGAAGAAACAATTGGTATATGAACCTGATGTTATTCACCAGCTATCATATGATTACATCTTCTGACATTGCTCCACTGCCTTATGAATTAGACACTTGGATCAAAGACTCACAGTGTGGCCTCCTAAGACAACCACATGTTTCGATTTAGGTAGCCAGGAAGTATCCCAGCCCTCACAATATATATGGCGCATATCTATTTGATGCCTCTTTGTATCAATGTTTATATGTTCAAATACATAAATAGTAAATATTAAATAATAAATCATACCAAACCATTAGTCACTTTCAAAGCCTTTTTACAAATGGATAACTTAATTGATTATATAACATTACACAATATAAAATACCTTGGTTCCTTTGAATTTTCCTGTTCAATTTCATTTGACTCTCCATATTGATTATCACAATGTGTCATTGAATCATTTTGTTTTATAATAGAATAACCAGAAGGATATGGTAAATTAGATAAATCAATAGAGAATGAATCATTGAATGGTTTCTTTAATTCATCATTGAATTTGTTTAAATCATCTAGAACTTTATGTAAATTATTATTTGAATCATTATCATCTAAATTCGTATTTGGTTGTTCATCTATAGAAGAATAAACAAACCATAGAACATATGAATTTCGAGTTCAATTAACAATCTAAAATGAACATTTCATGTAGTTTGTTAATAAAACAAAAATGTGCCTTTCGCATAGAATGATTGTGAATCATGTTCATATATTACAGACTGACTATAGTTAAAGAGCTACTTATAAGTGGTGACTGATCCTTAGATTGCCTCCGAATTCCCTAGTACGGCCAATGTGTGGGGAAAATCAGCTCTCCATCTCAAAATGCTCTCACATGGTCACGTGTAAACAACCACTGACAAGGAAGTCCTACTCACTGTCTTCTCGCACCACGGGTCTACTTTACGAAATTGAAAGGACGTAAAGAGAATGTCCGGAGCTTCAACCGAGTTGCTAACCACTCAGAGTCCACCTAGGGGAGTTGGAAAACCCTGCTTCCAAACCATTGATGTACATGGTCTCCAGGATTTTGAAGGAACAAATGGCGTATGAACCAATCGTTGGTCACCTGACGTTGCTCTACTGCCTTGTAGATTAGACCTTTAGGTCAAAGGCTTGGGGTGTGACCCCCTAAGAAAACTATCTACTTTGGTTTGGGAATCCGGGTAGTTCTCCACCTTTAACATAAACTGAATGATTTATGTGGTGCATATCTTTTTGGTACCCCTTGTACTAATATTTATGTGTTTAAATAAATATATAATTAATGAAAATTATATATAGACTACTGAGCCAGCCGGTATTCAACGGTGTTAATGTTTATCTTCAACCAGTCCACGAAATTGTGCCACCATCTACGATTGTTATGAGTGAGTTACTATCTCACAACAAACCCGGTTGAACTCCATTGGTCACTGTTTCTCACTAGAACTCTAGGACTCGAACTTAGTACCGTTCGTTTCAAACGCCATCGTGTTATCCACTTAGCTACTTAGTCTTGATAGCCACTTGTTTGTGCAACAGGGTGAAGTTTAAATTCACCTGGTATTGTTTGTTTGAATTTTACCATTTGATGTTTAGGATTGCAAATGATCAATCTCTTATTGGAAGACATAGGTCTGAGAATATTACAATAAAACAATAAAAAATTTTTAAACATACTGTATACAGTTGAAATTGTATCTTCTGGTATAAGTTGTTCATGTTGATTATTTTCATTATCAGTAAGACAGAGATTAGAAGATTGAATGTCCACTGTCACACTCATATTTAGTTATCAATCAGAGGATATGGGTATATTTATTACAATAGCCGTAAAGATTTATAACAACCTAATCAATGAGTGTTTTGCTGTTTTCCCAAAAGTTTATCTATAAAATAACGATAAAAAATATTTTAGTCTATTAAAAAACTTATGTACAACAAATCGGTTATAAAGATGTCTTGAACTACTATTGGCGTCTTATATCATTCTGAAGGATAAGAAAGAAGTGTACGAGGGATCGCAATGTCACAGCACCAATCTCAGTACCTGATGCTCATGTACGATTGGTTCGTGGCAAATTTTAGAGAAAATGTAATAATTGAGCGGATACAACATATGGGACTACAAAAAAAAGATTCTTTATTTGTGATTGTGTTAATCAAATGACTTGTGGACTATGATGATGTTGTCATTCGATGTAATATATATTGAAGGAAGAAGTCTGCTAGAATAAGAACTTTGTTCTCTCGATCCAGATTGAGATTACGGAAAATTATGATAATCGTTGCGAATTGTATAATAAAAGCACCAGTAACACTGGCTGCAGCTAGGTACTACAATGTATACGGATGATTGGAGAGCGTACGGATGGCTACAGGCGGCATTTTGTAGACCCCACAACCGAAGTGCACACAAACACTACGAAGCTATGTGTTCAAGGCTGAAAACGTTTTTGCGACCTTATCACTGCTCTGAAAGCCGACCATAATGGAGCCACATAGATGAGTTCCTATATCACATGCATTACGATTTTAGAACCTCCGAATCGCTTTCTTACCTTTACAAGTTTTTAAACCATGCAACAGGAGTGTATATACTTTAATTCTTTGGTTTTTATAATATATTTCTACTCTATACTTACTGTTTTTTGATTGGCTAATATCTCTTAGGGTCACTTGAGATTTGTTCAAATGTCGTTCATAAATTATAGTCTTGCCAACATTTCTAGTACATGTTAAAACATTTGTTAATCCTGTGTTCATTAAGCTGAGGGGCTTTAATTACATGGGACCCTTACTTTATCTATGAAGTCTGAACTTATCTTCTACCAAACAAGGCTGTCAAAACTCGTGACATTAGTATCAAACAAAATGCTATTAATAGTAAAATAAACTAAAAATCTGGGTCTCTATATACTTCAATTTAGTGTAACTGTGAATCGCGTCGGGATAATTGGAAAATACATAATCTATAAATGATTACTTATTAACAATAAATTAGACTCTAATTCTTTATTTCAATCATCAGGCCGCTTGTTTCAATTCTATTTGACTAATATCTAGTCCTCAAAATGACATTACCGGTACACACAAAAACACCACTGACCATGGTTTGCTAAATCACGGTGATTAAAAATATCATTTTGACATGGTGATGTTAGATATTGTCTTTTCTTTGTTGTAAAGTATAATACTGCGAAATCGCTAAAGGTATAAACTGAAGTTTTAGATATTATGAGCGATATATTTCTCATACCTATTAATCTCAGTTTATTCTTCGCTAATCTACCAGAACTATCATTATCTTGAATTTTTGGGAACATCTATGCTGTCACAGTGTAAATGAGTTGTATATATGATGTAAAGTAATCACAAAATGTTCTGTTTCCAAACAATTGTTCAACCACATATATATTAAACCAGCCAAACAGGGCTAACAAACTTCTCCTTAAATTTGAACAGATCTTAACTGCATGTATATGTGTATATATACTCAAAACATTAAGCTAAACATTTAGATGTAAAGCCATACTATATATCCGTTGAAACGGCTCTTTAAAACTAGAATAAAAAGAAGGAATAAGTTATCATCTGAAGGTGAAAGTTAACTGATAAAATGAAAAGATTCAGCCTTCTATGAATAAGTGCTAACATAGAAACTTCGAAATACTACATACGATAAATAACTTTACAATAAGAAAACCTATGATTAGGAACACCCTATGCAAACACAAAGTAAACCATGATGACCTGTTGGTGAAGTTATAAAAGCAACCCTTTTGAATAATAAAGACAAATTAACATACAATTATTTCAATTATAATGGCAAATGTAACAAACTGCACGAATTTTGCGAAGCACTTAAATTAGACTTAGCTTTTATCTTAAATCCTTGTAAAAATGATACATTCTGATGATCGGATATCTTAAAAATGATATATCTGCCTGACTTGAAAAGGAGTGAACTTGCGCCACAAGGTTTAAAACATAAAGCACTATTCTAAGAAGTGGACGTATATATACTTGAACGAGCGTAGATTCTCTTGGATCGGTTAATGAAACGAATTTCTTACCTTTCCTTCTACTTAATCTCAACTGGTCATGTTTGTTTGTAGAAGAGTTTCATATCAACCTCAAGTCTAGGATACCGCATGTCACAACATAAGATAGGTATTAGTGAGTTCTATTTCAGTTTATCTTAGAAACATGCATTTTGTGTTAAGTTTAAATTGTGTAAAAAGAATTAACAAGGGCGTTTTACGTCCTCAACCGAGAAGTAATAGCTTTTTTAAACATTCAATGTTAACCACAATATAAAATCAGAGATAAATTGCGTGAAACTAGCTCAAAAAGTGGCTGAAAAAGTATTATAATATAAACAACAAACCACGGTAGTCAGTACAGGTCTACATTTCTTACCACTAAATATCAGCGTTACTCAATACATTCCAAATCATTTAATTTACTTAAGAGCAAAACCATTGGTTTTTAACTTTTCCAAACTCTCAGTTATTCCTTAATTTACTACATATTCATAAATAGCAGGTGTAAGAACATCTGTTGCATGAGTTTATATATGATAAAACACCAAAAGACCAAAAACTTGAGTATTGAGTTAACTATAACCTTGCAGTTTATGTTGAAAATACTGTTTCCACACCATTCACAACATCCAGAACTGAACATGAAAAATGCTCTTTATTTGCCGCCTTATATTATATGGAGCTATATCCTAATATGAAATTCCTCAAAAACATGTCGAAGAAAAGAGATTATAGGGATCAGTGTCTAATGACAACCGTTTATCTAAATGAATTTTAAATATAGTGTCGAACAGTTATTAGGATTAAATAGATTGACAAAGTCTTTACAAATTATTCAGATGTAATATATACAAAATGTAGGATAGAAATAGAGTATATTGACTCTTTTGTCATGTATGAATAATATGTAATCTCTATATATTCATTGACCAGATTTTCAGTATACGATAAATAAAATTAGCTAAAAGCCGCCCCATCGGACTATCAAAAATAACGAACATATTCCATCCACCATATCTTTAAAGAACAGTTCATACAACTTATCCTTGATTAAACCTAACGGTTAAACCCCTAACTTGAGAATAAAAGGTCAGGCTAACTGTAGAAAATCTTGAACTAAGTGTCAGTTGATAAATATAAAAGGAAAATATGGTTTAAACAGGCTGAACGTCTGGAAGACAAAAAATAAGACATGATAGTGCTTTTTGATTGGAATTGGATATATATTACTGATATCCGTCGGTGGACTAAACAGCTTTAGTCTAAGCTTTGTTTCAATTTAATGGTCACAGAATACCATGGCCAAATTTAATTACGGATATGAACGCACTTTTATTATGAGTACCAATCAAACTATGTGTCTGAAAACAGTTTACAATTGTCTTGAACAGCTATAAAAGGCGATTACAAACTCAGAGAAGCTTTGATGGCAAAAATTTTTCGTTAAAACTTAGACGAGTCACATAATCAACACTGAAACTACCCTTCGGAATTTTCTCCAAAAGTCTCACTACAATGTTCTTAAGTTTCTTGTATTTCTTTCAATGGGCGAATTTATCCCTCTTTAAGTTTGATTAATAACTTTTTTGTTTATTTAATCCTATATGATCATAAACGGTTTAAATTTCTTAACAATAATGGTACTGAACAGTGTCAAATGAGATACATGCCCTTTTGGTCGTATCTTTTTGTTACATTGCTTTTGGTCAAGATTAAGTTATTTGATTTGGCTACTTACAATATAAGATGAAGTTATATGAGTTTGACGTTTTCGAATATATAGTGTTTCTCAAAACAAATATTGCTTCCAACCTCAAAAAAAATCGCCAGCTTTTAATATCTTGTCGCAACTTAGAAGAACACTGAGAATAAGAATTACTTTGGGACAAGAAAATAAAGCCTGAAATTGTTTGTACTGTGAATAATGTATTTAAGTAACGATCGAATTTCGAGAAGCGTACATACGTACATACGAAGCCTATTTTATCTATTCGAAAACGTTTAAATCTTATTTGTTAAAAAGCGACGGATCAAAACACTTTGAGACGTTATGTTTTAAATACGTACCATGTAGACAGTTGTCGTGGAGATAAGTTTCTATTATCAATATCGTGTTGTAGTGTAGATATAAATTCGTTGGAGTCTTTTCCGTGACAAGAGATTTAACTGAACGAATTTGGGATCAGTATATCACTCTAAGTATTGCACTCTGAATATATTTTGTGTTCATCAGGTGATTATTATATTTTATTTGTTACTGCGTACAGTTGGTTCACAGAAGTAAATTTCTCTAAAATTTTAAGTTATTACTCCACTAAACGTTCCTTCGATTCATCCTTTTTCCAACGTTTTTGAATTTGAATGGTGTCTTAGGCAGCTTGATTGCAGATTGGGCTAACTGAATTTCATATCTTTTCTAATATACCCGGATTTTAATTACAAACTCATTTCTCACTGTCCTGTAACGTTCCAACGTGCTTGCTGTATAGAGGCTGATGGCAAAGGTCCAACATTTCTTCTTTTCTTTTAGTGAACGTCGACCAAATCGAACTATCTAGGGATAGCCATACTTCTTTTTTGGGACTGTCTAGGGTATCAGTGGTTAATTTACCCGATTGTATATTTGCCTGAAATGAATCCATGTTTTTCTAATGACGCCTTAGGTCAATTTCCCAGTTTTCAGACGATGCTTCTTAGTTGATAGCTTCCAAAAATGGACGGGCCAAAACAACTATTTGACAGGCAATCTCTGCCATGAATTTGAATAATATGACTGCATGATCGCTCCTCCCTAAAAGGGGAAGGAAGTCCATTTGACCGACGTCATTAGAGTGTGTGAAAACTAATTTCAAGACAGTCGAGGAGCTTGGCAAGTCATCTCTGGCAGGATCTTCAATGTGTTGGAGTAAAGCTAATGCAATCGAAGCATCTAATTTTTTTCAATCGAATGATGTCATCGACCACCCTACATCTAAGTTTACCCAGTTTATATGCGGCGCACTAAAGTCGCCCACTATAAAACTTTTACACAAATGACACCAGGACTTAAGTTTGCTTAGAAGGAATTCATCTACTACACATTCTGGACTGCCATCTATATTTCAGCTTGCAACGCATCAGTTCGCGTGACCATGAATCATGTGCCAATGTCTCAATTACTCGCACTGTTAAGGTACTTTTTGTGTATAGGGTTACCTTACCTTCCCTACGGTTTAATCCACAGCCCTAGTGGATAAAAAACATATCAACTGAATTCCATTATTGAACACTTTTGACGTCAACCATGTTTCTGAGACAGTATTAACATCCGGTTTTTCTTTATCTATCACTGTCTTGAGCTCCGTCTTTTTATTTAGTAGGCTGCAAGCTTTTGTTAAGCACACCTTCCGTTCTGCGGAGAATTATCCCTTACCGCACAGAGTGGTTTCAATATCGTTTTGCTCCGAAGGTTTACAATTTGAAAACCCTTTAGAATGGGGTTTCTCACCGATTCAGCTGTTCTCATTCATCTCTACTTTTGCAGCTCGTCTATTAATACAATCAACTAGGCACAGATCCTCACGGAAGCATGTTCCGGATCCAATCAGTTCGCGTGAGTTTCCTAGTATCAGTTTTCTTTCTTCAACTGTAGCAAAAAATAACCTGCAATGAAAGACTACTCTGAGTAATTTCAGAATCCACCTTTATGCTATTATACTACGTTTACAGATGCTAACTCCTGAAACTGTTTCTGGGTGTAGCTTGCTTATTCAGGACATAATATGACTGAGGCCATGCTCAAATCTAGCCCTTGGCTCCTTATCGGGAGATTCTCTTAACTTATGAAAAATGACTGACCACTGAGCGAGGTCCGTCTTGACACGCTGTGGAATTTTAGTTCTTGAAATTTTCTCTTCCCTGCGATCCGATTCCAACTTGGCGTCAAACGCGTAGGTCACTTTCTCTCTTATTACTTTACGTTTCATAGGTGTGACTGTAAACCACCTATTTGCTTTATTTTGTCTCTTGATGACATTATATACACCGCCCAGACTAAGCTCCCCTATAGTTAGTATTCTATCGATATGTGAATCCGGAACTGAAACTGTAGATTCACATGCTTCATCACTGTCTATAGGTAATTTCTCCTTTTCTATGCTCTTTTTCCTTTTCTTTATGATAATGCTTACATCCATATGCTTATCTGCTTCCCCGATGTGGTACACATTTGTGGTCTCATTTAAATCCAGAGCTGGGCTCTCAATTTCCTCTAAGGCAGAATTCTGTTCATCTATTGCTGCCTGTTTATTCGAGGGTAATTTTCTAGCTATGTTCAGCAGCTCAGCGCCATAAATTTGTTTTATGTTTTGGTATAAATAAATGTGTCTAACAACAATAAGTAAATTCGACTTCGGTAGTAATAAAAAGACCCTAAAACCTATGGATAAAAACAATACTAAAAGTTATACTCAATGACGAAGAATAAATACCAGTGCCTTTGATTTTTTGGGATATAAACACCAAAGTACAGATGACAAACTGCTCTAGAAATAATAGATACTTCCGGAGATTACTTCAACTGAAGTAAGCACAACCAAAGCAAAAACGATTGTCTTGATGCGTGATTAAACGAACAATACCATAAAATATAGTCAGAGTAGAAATACAATTGTCCTCTTTTAAATAACGCGCAATAGTGAGAAACAAGAGTTCATTTTGAACCACCTGTACATAATTTTTTTCAGAATCCGTGTTTGTTTATCGCTGCTAAATGTAAATCTAATTTTGCAAAGTTTCTTCTATTTCACTCACGACTTATTGAACACATCTGTCCATCACGAAAAAGAAACTGTGTGCTACAACATGTGGTTCTGAGGTGCTCTATCCAAAATCGATCTTTCAATCATCTCTCTTAAAATTTAACTGCCAAACAAGATGGACGACGAGATGAGCGAATATCTTAACAAAGTAATTGTCAACTTGTTTTATTTGGTTCTATTTGTTTTTCATGTTGATATATGACCAAATGTTGGCGACCTAAAAACTATCACAAGTCATTTAGAAAATGCTTGAATAGTGTTGGCTGTTTATTGAGCCGGTAATTAATTATTGTACTAAAGTTTTCGTCGTCGTTGCTTTTGGAATGGTGCGTCTTTGTTTACAACATACATAATGTGAAATAAATTAATTTAGTAGTTTTTAAGATATTATGGAAACTTAATTATTCAGCCTAAGGCTGAATGCTTTTTATCAAAGCAAACTATTCAAGTAGATAGTCTCCGTATCTGCCTATTGAATCACACTTTGTGGTCCAACTGGGAATAAGTTACCTTTTGCATACATCATTTTAACCACTCAGTCTCGACACAACTTGTTGATGACGTTTGTTAAACACATTAATTTATTTCAAAACTCCGTAGCATGTTTTATAATGTGACTCAATCGGTTTGTCACAGAAGTGGTTGAATAAAAACATCGGTAAAGTGAATTGAGATTTATGAAAATTCATATAAACACAATGGAGCAGAAGAACAAATCACATATATGCTAGGGTATGTCTATTTGTTTATTTTCTAGTATTTTGCCTTGGGCACTCGATTGAAGATGATACCACATCATTTGTTGATGGTAAAGCACTATCAGATTCGCCGAGCTATATCACTGATAATCCACTCGTGGGTCAGGATTTTTATTTATATATTTGAACACGAATATTGGTACAAAGGGGCACCGAATGTATTCGCGCCACACAAGTCACTTGTTTTGTGTGGGCTGTGATACTGTCTAGGTGCCCAAACTGAAACGGGTGGTTTTCTTAGGGGACCACATCCGGAGCCTTCAACCTAAAGGTCTGATCCATAAGGCAGTGGAGCGACGTCAGGAGATTCAGTCCCGTGATAGCCGGTGACCAACAAAAGTTCACACATCATTTGTTCCTTGAGGATCCCGAAGACCATGTGTACCATTGGTTTGGAATCAGAGTTTTCCAACTCCCCTAAGTTGGTCCTTCACACCTATCAATCCGATCAAAGTGCACCGGGCATTCGTTTTTGTCCTCTCAATTTCATAAAGAACACCCGTGGTGCGAGAAGGCAGTAATTAGGACTTCCCTGTCTCTCAATCACTTGACTTGCAAGCATTAGGTTGCAGATTAAGGTGGAGTTTTATATGCACCGTCTCGGGCAACTGATGAAGGTAGTATGGCTCAAAATTGTTCACATGACCCTTGACTTGATAAATGGGCACTATTTAGTTTTTATGAATTATAGTTCAAGATTAATCACGTGTTTGACAAAATTTTAATTTAGTACACATTTTCAACGTTATATCGCTTCTTTCTTATTATGTCTACCTAAAAGCTGATACCATTATCTTAGTATTCTTTGTTAATGTTCTTTTCTTCATGCAATGACTATTTTTTACCGATTTGTACGTTATTATTGATGTCAGCGATTATACATATTTCTTATATCACTATTTCATCGTTTATTCATGTTAACAAATCAGTCATAATACAACGCAATTATACTTGCCCCAATATCCTCGTTTGTTTGTAGATGCAAATCAAAGAAACATCTGAATTGTATGTTCGATGCAGTACAATATGCTTTGATCGATGTGTTAGCAATTTTACTTCACGTAAATTAAATGATAAGGAGGTATGGTTTTATTTCATATCGAGGGTGATTCTCTCTTTTTCTTTTTACCTTATAGACCGTATGCGTCGATAAATGTACAGAGAAATTTGCCAAAATGAACCAACGTTTAACTCTCAGACTATTTGAGTTGAATCGTGAAGAATTAGTTAAACAGTGAAATAAAATCACATATTCACCTCAGTAGCTGTACATAATTTTGTTCACCTCGTTGCTCGTTCTAGAGTTTTATTGTGTTGAATAAAACTTCGAGTTTCGTCTCAGAATTTTTTTTAATACTTGCACAAGTTTACTGATCGTCCTTACAACTTACGTGAAATAGCTGCTAGAAATATAGCGCATGATTTTCCGGTTGTTTGTGTTTTATTAGCTTTCTAACTTATGTATTATGTAACTTAATTATTGGATTTCTTACTACTAAAGTCCTCCAGGTTAAATTGTCCGATAACATTAGGTTGCTATGATTTTAAAACCAGAAACTAGTGCAATTATCATAAACGATGTATCAAGGATTTAAAAAGCAATTACACCGTTTCGAATTTTTACAAAGTATAACGCAGTGTTCTAGCTAACAAAATTTCATGTTAAATAAAACCGCGAGGCGTCTGATTTTTTATGATATAGTGCAGTATACAAGATCGGAATTTACGTCACTTAAATGTGGTTTTTGGCGTCAGTAAATGAACATAACTAACATTACACCTACATGTATAGGAATGGTATTGCTTTGGAAATCTACTTAAATAGACTTGCTGGGTTGTCTTATGGGTCACAATCAAGAATCTCAGTCAGTCATAACCTGACTCCAATGCCCTTTGCTCTTAGTTGTCACATTACATCAGTACACCAAAGAAGTTGAACTATTAAAAGTACCAATGGTAGTAATAAATATCAAACCTGGAAAAGATTGTTCATGAAGAAGGAATAAATTCAGGTAGTAAAATGCATGGAATAATGTTAAAACTCACGATCTAGATGGAAAAAAAGGATGAATGCTTCACTGAGGCTAATTCTTAGCAATATCACCCAATGTCTCCATCTGGGATAAAACACTCGAATTTCAACCAATAAGCTCTAACCCTGTTTTTCCTCATTCTTACAAGTCTCAATATGCTAAGACTGTGGATGAGAACTGAATACATTAACATCCACTTGGTAAATGAATTATCTTGCGTACAAATTATACCTCAACTACTGACTGAAATGATTTGATCAGGCTGTGTGCACTATGTCAGTTATTAATATGTTTACTAGATAGTATTCGTTGAAGTATTTAGCTTCAGATTTCAGCAAAATAAAGCTGTACATCCATCTTGCCAATAATCGCAGAAAAGTACAAAGTTTAAATCCTATGTCAAATACGCGTTCATGTATATAGTATTATTGTCCAATACATCGAGTCTATTGTTTTCTTTGTCCATCCGATAATTATAAAATAGTAAACTTTAATATATGTAATGACAGTATTTCCTTCATAATACACCATGCTTTTTATCACAGGAAAGACTTCTGAGGACAAAATATACAATATTACAACAACTTGTAGTCTTATGCCCATTCCAGTTAGGAATTTCCAAACTAATATATATATATATATATATATATATATATATATATATATATATATATAATGATGTTTCTCAACAGTGGTAGTCAGTCATTCGCAAACACCTGTCTGTCTTCGCACAAACACCAATATAATCCTCTCCCGTTCCTCCTAAGGACAAATATATCAGTCATACCCATCATAGAACCTGGGACATATATTCACTGGTCTAATTCATCACACTACATTGGCTTAACGAGATGTAACTACTAATATTAATTCATTAGTAGAATTAAAGGATAGACATGTAGGAGAGTATACTGACCACCGTAGTGGTGATGTTTGCGTTTGAATTTTACAGTAATTAGCTTCATGATAGGTTCTAACCATTTTGCATGAGTACATCATTCACTTAACATGTTTAATTACTTGAAAGATGAACTATGTGTAAATACAAATAAACTATCAAACTTACCATCTACACTATCCCAAAACTAATTATCGTATTCAATGGTTTTATTGAATTAAATAAACTTATATGAGTTATACTTGGTTGAGGTCCGCGTGACTATTGTAACCAATGGTTGGAGACTCTTGTTGACATGGCTCAGAATCGATCGCAGTGGCGTCGTTGTATACACTCTCTGTCTTCCCTTAAACTATGAGATTAAAATCGCTTCATATCTTTCTTCCTGTACTATGTCCTTATATGCAATGTTTTATACATTACCACCACTGAATAAACTACTTGTATAAATTCCATGTTCATCTTATTGTGCTAATGAGGTATGGCAACTTATCCCAATGTATATATATATATGCCTGGTCCTACTTTGTAGCTGACTAACTGATGAGTTATATGAGCATGTTCACCATCGTACTTTTGAATATATATAATCTGTAAACACTTTAAATGCACACACAGTTACAGACATAAACTTTTAAACAAGAATCTGTTTATTTCAAAACTTAATGTGTTTATATTTCTAATGTATAAACCACTGAAATGGTTATCAACTATTATATATGTACTATTTTATTAAATATATAGTTGTATTGTCATTAAAATAGTACATTTTAATATGTATTCATATTTTCAATGTATTTAATATAGCATATAATATTATCATCATACTGTTCGATAAACCTGTCATCAGTCATAAATGTTATTTAATAATATACAATAAGAATTAACTAAAAGTGGATGACTATTTTCATAAATTTAACATTAAACATGTTTATTATGTATCCTATAAGTTGTTCTAGTAGGTGAGTAAGGTTTTGAATATTAGTTCCTATTGAAATACTGCTGAGGAGTCCCACAATAGGACGAAACAACCGTACAGTGCTTCCAGGTTTTCAATAGTGGTCTAACGTCAATTGGTGTGTGATCTCAATCAAAAGAAACTTAATGATCCCTACAACCCTATATTGGTAATTACTCACTAGTGACTAGTTTCATGTGGGAATTCTCAGAGTTGTAGTGAGAAGCCATGACCAGTGGAGTTAATCCGTGTTGGATAGAAACAGGTATCTACCTCAGTATAATTGGATTGGTTGAGATTAAACATTAACACCGTTAGATTCTGGTTAAGTGTTCGCGTGCGAGATTAGAGGCCCTGAGTTCGAATCATGGATGCGCCCTATTGAGGAGTCCAACAATAGGACAAAACGGCTGTCCAATACTTCTGTTTTTCAATGATGGTCTAACATCAATCAGTTCATGATCTCAATCAAAAACTTAATCTCCATAACCCTATACTGATAAATACTGAAAGCTTTTTTTGTTACTGAAAATATGTCTATTTTTATAGTACATAATAATGTTTCAGGCATAGTAATGAAATTTCTAAGTGTATAGTATAAATTGTTTGTTTGGTTTTCCTATCTACTTTCAAAAGAAACTACCTGATAATAATACTACTGTGTTACCAAGTAGAACGTTCAATGTTATTTCTGATTTCCATCTATGAGTGAAATTTCTATGATTAGTTAGGTTTATGATATTCAACTACTGTTTTTCTCTAATTGAAATCATGAGTCAATTGAAGCTAGATCACCATGGAATACCTGGAAGCACTGGACGGCCGTTTCGTCCTAGTATGGGAATCCTCAACAATGCGCATCCACGATCCTGCCCCCGCACGAGATTCGAACCCAGGACCTATCAGTCTTGCGCCACTGAGCCGGCATCCAACTGTTTTTCTGTCTATCATTTGATTAGACAGAGGTCGTAAACTTCTATGGATGAACTTGGAACGTATATTACTTTGACTTAAAATATGGTATATAACAATAGGTTGTCAACCACATCCGTTAGGTAATTAACATTTAAATGAATAAAAGGGGTGTTAGTCTTAGGAGAAAATTTGGTGACAATCTACCTAGTTTGTTCGGTCAATACAAAACTCGCATCATAAGACGTATGTTTCACAAAATCAAAAGTATGTCAATCATACTTCCCTCGAAATGCCTTCCCTTTGTAGAGGTGCACCAGTGTTTACTGCATTTCTAGAGGTTCTTAAAGACCGGACTCTTCAGATCACTGTTCATCGTTTCACGTTCAATCGTCTCCATATAATCCCCGCATTCAACACTTCAAACATAAGAAATCTTAGGGGATAGGATCTGGCGATTTATTACAAACGGTATGTACACTAATTTCCCAGTCCCAAATTTTTATCTCATTCATGTCTATGGATGATCTTCTTGGATTCAGTTCATTAGAAATTATCTGGATAGCAAATCGACAGTCAAATAGCACAACTAATCATACACTTCTTAGTTTTCATCAACACAAGATGTCGACCGTCGTTCGCAACTAATAGCTTTCATAAGTCACTTCACATATTTATTGTCTGCACCATATATTCAAAATACTGATCATATATTAATTCTGTCCAAAGAAACTGATGAATTTGATATGTTCGCTGGCAAAAATTGTAATCTTTCCTATCTATGTGAAGATGATATGTCCGTCTATCAATTAAAGGACGAGTATACTGCGCACCACTTCGTTCTGTTCTAATCAACGGTTGCGAAACGTGACCATTAAGAGTAGAAGATACTCGTAAGTTACTAGTATTTAATAACAGATGTTTTAAAAATATTGCTAGAATCTGCTGAGATCACCGGGTAAGTAATCGTGACGTTAGACGCCAGAGTACTAGAGAATGATGATAAATCAGTCGATGAGGTTGTGAATCTACATCAACTGAAATGGTTGGGCCACATATTACACATGCCCAACCACCGATTACCAAGATGCTCAGTGCTGACTAGTGTTGGAGACAGTTGGAAGAAAGTTAGGGGGCAGCCAAACCAAAACATGGCGTCAGTCCGCAAAGTTACTAACTTTGGATCCGAGCCATGTTGGTAGATGCAGGCTACTTGGTTGGGGTCCTCACGACTATCGTAACCAACGGTTAGATACTTTGGGTGACATGACTCAGAATCGATCACAATGAAGTGGCTGTATACAATCTGTATTCTTTTGAACTGTAAGATTAATATTATTTTGTACATTTCTTCCTACGAACTAATTCTTTCTCCATGTACTATATCCTTACTTTGTTTATTTATTTGAATACATAAATATTAGTACAAATAAGCAC